TTTTCCTTGTTTTCGATTTTCTATAATTCATATTTTCACGAAAGTTTAGCTTTTAGAACATATTTATTAGGGTTAAAAAAAGAATAGGACTCAAATATATTTTTAATTATAAGTTTAAACATCAATTTTTTTTTTAAAAAAAGTCACCTCATTGGACCCCACTTAAATGTGTAAAACCCTCTCCTTTACATACTCATTGGTGGGAATCGAACCCAGGTCTAATTTCTGGAAGCACAACATCCAAACCACTAGGCTGTCATTCAATTCTCAATCTAAAACATCACTTTGGTTAAGACAAATGCTTTTATTTATTAAAACATTATGAAATAATATGTTCTATTGTATTATAATTTTTTTGTATAATACCATAAGTACTAATATCATATTTATATGATTTAACCCTCTAAATCGTTGGTTCAGAGCGATCATACTTAATGCCTAACCCTCTAAACCAATATTACACACCACCTCACTTCTTAAATCATGTTAAAGTTCATCATAATATACATACTCTAAAAAGTGGTGGTTGAGCATACCATTTTGAAGTAGCTTAAATGTTTTGCAGACATAAAGCAAGAAAGATTGAAAATTAGAAAACGAAGGAGATAAAAGAAGAGAAAAAAAGGAAAAATTATAATTCAAATAATGTGCCACGTATTATACATGTATGGGCCAAGAAATATTAGGTCTCATCTACAATTACACATCTTGGCCCGGTTTTGTGAGCCTAGTTGGTGGATACTAGCTCAAACGAATGACTGTCTTCTTATCATTAACTTTCTTTTTTAAATAAATGTCTTTTGATGTCTTTTTTGCCCTAGTGGTAAAGTTAATTATATGGATGCTTTGTAGAGATAGATAGTGTATTTTAGGTTAAATGGAAAGTAAATGTAATTGGAAAATATCCTTCCTAATAGCCTTGTTGAGCTTCTTGTAATCTATGTATACTTTCCACGCCCTGATCATGTTTGAAGGAATGAGTTTATTTTGATCATTCTTCACCACAGTTATCCCTCCTTTCTTAGGGACACACTGAACAAGACTCACCAAGCACTGTTGAATATAGGGTAGATAATCCCTTCTAACAACTAGATGACTTCCTTTTTTACTACTTCCTTAATGACTGGATTCAATTTTCTTTTACCTGAGAATCTAGTTCTCACAAAAACCACCTACAATGCAATTGGAAATTATAAAAAGAAAAAAACGTCTAAAATCTAGACAAAAAAAAAATAAAAATTCACATACGATACTTACTTAGCTTTAGATTATTATGAATTTCTAAAGGAAAATGTCTTTAATTAAAAAAAATAAGTACATCGGTAAGAAAAAATCGGTTACGAAATGGTAGTTTTCTTGAGAGAACAAAAAGGAAACTTTCGTTCCTTACTGGAGAAAGAGACGAGTCTGTATCCAGTATACCCGGGGGCACCGTGTCCCCTCCTATTTTTTTTGCATTTTTAGCCCTTATTGTACTTTTTATCAATCTTTCTATATTTTACAAGTATAGTCCCTGTCATTTTTTCTCTCTCTTCCAAAAAAAATATCTCTAATCTTTCAACGACCATATCTCCCAATCCGTGAAGAATTTGTGAACGAATTATATATGAAATTTATAGTACTCGTCGATATCTATTCAACAAGATCCATATCCAATATTTTTTTCCAACTTAAAAATGATCAAATTTCTTTGGGCAGAATTAAGTTGGATATCCAGTACAAACAAGTTGGATAACCAACTTGTTCTAAATTGGTTATCCACCGTGTTCATGCTGATTATCCAATCAGTTTGAACTGGTTATCCATTTTGTTTCTATTGCTTATCCATTTGGTTATCCAACTTCTTAATTCAAAATAAGTTGGTTATCCATTTTCTTAAACTGGATATCCAATGTGTTCATATTGATTATCCAATGCACTAATACTGGTTATCCAATGGATTTACATGCTTATCCAAGTTATTTGTGCTGGTTATCCACTGTGTTCATGCTGATTATCCAACTTGTTTATACTGGATATCCATCCATTTGGTTTGTATGCATATCCAACTCTAATCTTTCAACGAGCATATCTCCCAATCCGTGAAGAATTTGTGAACGAATTATATATGAAATTTATAGTACTCGTCGAGATCTATCCAATAAAATCCACAGTGAACATTTTTTCGGGCTTAAAAATGACTTAATTCTGACGGGCAGAATAGAGGTGGTTATCCATCTTTTTTTTTTTTTGAAGAGTGAATGTCAAACATATGATTGGATAACAAGTACGAATAGAATGGATAATCAGTCCAAACTGATTGGATAATCAGTAGGAACATAACAGATAACTATTTTTCAAAGAAAAACAAAAAATGCGTTTCTTCATTTTCTGCCCGTAAAGTTTAAATGCATTTAAAGTTCAAAAAAATATTCAACATTGATCTTATCGGATAGATCTCGTCGAGCACTATAAATTTCATATATAATTCGTGTTATAATTCTTTACGGATCAAAAGATACAAGGAACACAACAATATGAATGTGAAATAAGTTGGTTATCCATCTTCTCAAACTAGATATCCACTGTGTTCATGTTGATTATCCAATGCGCTAATACTGGTTATCCAATGGATTTACATGGTTATCCAAATTGTTTGAACTAGTTATCCAATGTGTTCATATTGATTATCCAATGCGCTAATACTGGTTATCCACTGTGTTCATGCTGATTATCCAACTTGTTTGTACTGGATATCCACTGTGTCCATGTATATCCATCTCTAATCTTTCAACGAGCATATCTCCCAATCCGTGAAGAATTTGTGAACAAATTATATATGAAATTTATAGTACTCGTCGAGATCTACCCAACGAAATCCATAGTGAACATTTTTTCGGACTTAAAAATGACTTAATTCTGACGGGCAGAATAGAATAGAGGTGGATATCTATCTTTTTTTTTTTTTTTTGAAGAGTGAATGTCAAACATATGATTGGATAACAAGTACGAACATAATGGATAATCAGTCCAAACCGATTGGGTAACCATTTTTCAAAGAAAAACGAAAAACGCATTTCTTCATTTCTGCCCGTAAAATTTAAATGCATTTAAAGTTCAAAAAAAATATTCAACATGGATCTTATCGGATAGATCTCGTCGAGTACTATAAATTTCATATATAATTCATGTTATAATTCTTTACGAATCATTAGATACAAGGAAAGGAATAATATGAATTTAAAATAAGTTGGTTATCCATCTTGATTATTTATGTTAATACTGTTTATCCAACTAATTAGTATTATTTATCCAACCTGGTTTTTGTTTTTATTATTTTTTTAAAAAATAATAAACTAAGTTGGTTATCCAACTCGTTTGTATTGGTTATCCAATTATTGGTTTGTACTGGATTATCCAATGCGCTAATGCTGGTTATCCAATGGATTTACATGGTTATCCAAATTGTTTGAACTGGTTATCCAACTCGTGCATACTGGTTATCCAACTTACTGGATATCCAACTTATTCTGCCCATCAAAATTTAGTCATTTTTAAACTCAAAAAAAATATTCGAAATGGATTTCATTGGATAGATCACGACGAGTACTATAAATTTCATGTATAATTCGTTCACAAATTCTTCACGGATTGGGAGATTTGCTCGTTGAAAGATTAGAGCTGTTTTTTTTGGAAGAGAAGGAAAAAAGTCACAGGGACTATCCTTGCAAATCATAGAAAGATTGATAAAAAAGGTACAATAAGGACTACTCGTACAAAAAATAAGAGGGGGGCACGGTGCCCCCGGGTATACTGGATAATTTGCCAAAGAGACAATTGGTATTGAATTGTGGATTCATTTTAAAAAAACACTTAGAGCATCTACAATAGTGGTAAATTATTAGTAAATAGCCATTTAATTGTACTATTTATCATTGTTTTGAGTGTGATAAAATTATATGCGGTGTAAGAATTCTTACACTTTTTGGGGTTCAAAATATAATTAATGTGAATCTATGATGATACTAAAATTATTTGATTTTATTATACTTTAAAAGTGTAAACTAATGTAGTAAAAAGTTGAATTAAAGTATAATATTGAAAATTTATGACATTATTCTCATAATAGTATAAATCATTGTGCATACTCTTAATTGAGATTTTATCATATTTTCCTTTTTCTTGGTGAAAAAAAAATAAAAGAAATTGGATATTCTATTTTTTCCTTTTTGTTATTATAATTTGAATCAATCCTTAATGTTGCTTTGCATGGGATGATATCGAATTAATTCAACAGTTCCATAATACAATATGGAGTTGAAAAATGCGGCCAGCCGATTATTGTGACTGGGAACTTTATCAATAGGGTATAAGTTTGGAAGCCATTTGATGGAGGACATAACTTTACCAATAGGGTATAAGTTTGGAAGTCATTCGAAAACTAAAATAACTTCTCAAAAATTTTAAGATTAATAATGAAGTTTAAATTTTAACTTATGAATTTAATTACTACTTCTATAGTGAAGTCTTAATGTTAACTTATAGTTAAAGGACTTCGAATAATATTAGTGGACTAATTAATATTAGTGAACACACTTTGCGATTGAGGGACTCAGCTAATTACAGTTGATCATTATTCTTCATGGTCTCCGATAATGCATGATATTCTTGGCTTATGTTGTTGAGATTAGTGGATCATATAAGGGTTTTCATTCGTTTGCCCATTTGCTCCAAACTTTGATAATGAAATGATATTGAACGATTTTCAATAATTTCTGAATGAAATTTGGTTTGTTTCATTCCAAAATTTCAAATTAATTTGCGTTGGTATTAATTTGCAGTGGTATTAACGATTTACTCCCTCCGCTCCTTCAAAACACTAGAATGTCTTTTCAATTGAAATAAAAACGTTCAAAATACTAAATAATAATTAGAAAAATATAAAAAATATCGTAAGTTAACATAGAACAAAATCAAAATGTCTTACAACAAGGACATGAAGAAGTACATGTCAACCGTTTGTTAGCGACCAAATTATGTACATTTTGAGAAAGAGAGAATATAATAATTTAAGACAGTACTATATGATAAAACAAGATGATAAAAACTATTGATAACAACAAGAAGGAAACCTTTCAAAAGACTAATAAAATAGTTCAGAAACGACCAAAATCATACTCCAGATAACAGAATAATTGGAAAGATAAAAGCTTGCAGCAATAAATTCAACAGAAATGCTGATAATATCTCTTGTTATGTTTTTGAACTCTACTATGCAAGAATTCCCCTGTTAAGTCTAACCATACGACTGGAACCATATTCCATCTGGCGTACCCTGGGAGCAGAACCACCATGGTAACTTCTCCCAACTCCTCGACGGGATTGAGAAGCCGCACTGTCCCTAGAATAGCCGCCAGCTTGACCTGAGGAATAGTTTCTACCACCATCAGATGAGGCAGCTGCGGGAGCAGAGTCCAATCCAATTCGTGTCTCCATGGCTCTCTCGTTGCTTTCAGCAATGACAGGCAGCTTCTCAGCCAATTGGTGAACCAAAGTTCGCAACCGGCTGTGCTCAACATGGTGGAAAACAATGCATCGGGCTGGCTGGTCCCACCTCGCATCAAGCTCAGAGGTGATCATCATCCTGCTGACGATTCTATGAGTTTGTGTATCAGAAAGATCAAACATTCGGGCTAGCTGATCCAGGCTGAGACAATCATACGAAGATGAATATGTCAACAAATATGTACGGAGTGCCTCTTCCTTGATTTTGGCCTTTAACATTCCAAGAACATCGTCCTGGTTGCGAAGCAGCCTCCAAACATCAAGTGAGTTAATATGATTAAAGGCACTCTCAAAGTCTCCTTGCCTGAGTGCCCTGGTTGCTGCCATTACATGATCTCTCACAGTTTCAGGAGGGCCGGTAAATGTTTGCCTCTCACTAAACTCAAGCACCCTTCTGAAAGTCTTGCTTATAACCTTGTGCTTTGTGTCGTGGTGATTGGCCGCCATGTTAGGAACCTCGAGCAGCATGGCACATATCAGATGGACTGCCTCAAGAAGTTCAAGGTTTATGTGCATATGATACGGCATCTGCCGCCTTTTTTCCTTCCGTTCCTGAAAGAATCGATATACCAACAACAAATCTTCTAGGTCACAACCAAATAAGCAAAGTAACTAAGAAATGTTTAGACTTAGATGAAATAACTAAGAAATGTCATGCCTTCCCAAGTAAAATGCAGTGAATAGCTTCTAGATGTTAAGTAAAATGCAGTTAATAGCTTCAAGATGTAGCCCGACACACAAGAGATACAAGTACTTGATTCAATTTAAAGAAAAATGCAATTGGCAATGAGTTCTGTATTCAAAGGGTAAACCATCTTAACAAAAACAAAGTTGAAGTAGGCCTGGCCTGTACCTGTTCCGGTGTCTTTTCATGAAATCTGCTTTGGTAGATTCCTTGGGCGAGTAACTCCTTCGCTCTGCCAGTAGAGTACAATTCAGAAAGGCAACTATGCCCTTCAGCTATGAGCCCGGCCCTAAATGCACACAAACCAAGCTGTGCCATTGCCCTGTTAAATAATATTTGAGTTGAAGTATCCATATTCTGAACATTCTCCTGCAAGTGACTCATAAACAGCAAATCCCGGGATATAGTAAATTCGTCGTGAATAGCATGGTGGTAAATATCAGAAAGCACTGCACGGGCCTTCATTCGATCATCACCAGACTTGTATACGACTGAAACAAGGGTGTCCATCAAATTCCTACCGCTCTCTGGAAAGATGGGTTCCCGAGGCACAAGAACTGGAGTTGCCACCAATGATGGCAGAGCCGTAGTGCCATCCACATTTGGCTCCGGAATTTGTCCAACCATATCCCTCATTGCAAGATAAACCTTCTCTGTTTTGTAGTATATAAGTTCAACCCGTTTGAGAGCAACCTTAGCAGCACCCCTCTTATTACCAGCCCTCTCCAAATATTCCTGAATGTTTTGAGAAAGAACTGCTAACAGAGGTTCATCACGGAGCCTCTCAATATATTCACGCGTGTGTGGATCAATAACCTGCAAACTCTTAAAGAATTCCACATCTATTCTTTCTAAGAAAGCAACCAAATTTCCCCAAACCCGAATAGTGCCCTCATAATCAGCTCCCTTTTGTGTCTCGCTTTCATCTGGTTCCACCTTGTCATCAACCACAATGTTTGGATATTGAGTCAAGATATCAAGAATAGTAAGCATGTTATGGACACATTTTTTCCAAACATTAACAGACATGTGTGAGTCTAGACTTTGAGTAACATCAAATTGGGCCGACACAAGACTAAAGAGAATCTGAAGCTTCTGAGCTGGAGTCTTGGAAACTCGGGTCAAGAATGTGAGCTGCTCAACTAACTCCATCCTTCCCGTTCCTTTTCTTCCTCTAATGGCTACAGTTTCCTTGAACTTCTTGTTGGTTGAATCCCAGGTGATTTGATTAGGGTCGTCGTTGATTGGTACTCTTGCTTCTGACATTGGATTACTTCGAGCTTTTTTACCCCCATCTAGAACAGGTACTTTAAGCTCTTCAAACAATTTATCATCTTCAAGATCTGCAGGATTCTTCCTATATTTGTTAACCAACTCCTCATACTGCTTGTTGTTCTTCTTAAGCCTCTGCTTCATCGAATTCAATGCCTTAGCATTGCTAGGACTCATCTTTTTCTTGGCCTCCTTATAATCAGCTAAGGATTGATTCAGAAAGTCCTCTAACATCACAAGAGCTCCAATGTAAATCTTGGGCACTCTAGCAGACTCGACAACCAACATCACTTTCTCCAGTTGCCTGTTAATCTTGTCAAAGCTCTCTTGCAGGCTAACCCAATCATTAATTTTCATACCATTTTTCATCTGATCGATGGTATTCCTCATCTCTTCGAATCGCTTCTCCTTTACAGGTTTCACAACACGCTTCTCATCTTCACTCTCAGGCTCACTCGCACTAGTATAATAGTCCTTAGGGGGTCGGGATTCCCCCGATTGGACCGGCTCCTCTGGTTCAGACTCTGTTCCGGAACTCTCATATTCGTCAGCATCACTGTCACTCTGTTAAAAAACAGCCAGAATTCAGACAAAACATATAAATTTATACACACCAACAACGAAACTAGGGAGCATAACCATTGGTTTACATAAATACTTTGCTGACATATAAATTTATACACACTAACAACGAAACTAGGGAGCATAACATTGGTTTACTTCATAAGCACTTTGCTGATAAAGATGACGGACACTGTTTTGGCTGCCACAAAAATTAAAAATGAGCAAAATTTAAGATTAAAAAAAGCATCTTTGGCCGTTATATCTATTCACGTTTGCATCACTATTTTCACTTTTACCACATTTTGTTGAATCCGTTCCTCTTTATGACTAAAACAACATCACATGTAACTCTTTCCAAATCCACACGAAAAGAAAGAAAAGGTGGATATGTATGAAAGCAAGAAAACAGGCACGTGAAATAAGCAGCTTCAAAGCATGCATGGACGCATCTTTCCAGTCGGTCATGAGATTCTAAAATATTCTTCAGTTCATAAAGTTGGCTTCTTTTTGGGTGCTTTAATCAGTAGAAATCGTAATCAATGACAATTATCTTCTAAATCCCATCCCTATGAATATGATTATGATTATGTGTATGTAACTGTAATAGAAGAACCCAAAATTAATCCAATATCAATCGCGAAGATGATTTGATTAGGCCTCTGGCAGCCCCGGCCCCGGCCCCGCCGCCGGCGAGAAGGAGAGCGAAAGAAAAAAGAAAGGCGTTGAATATTAAAATTATAACCTAATTTTCAAAATAAACATATCTGAAACATGTAAGGAAAAGGCTTCAAATTTTCGCGAAGAAACAGAAAAATTAATCAAAGGTGGAACGAACCGAACCTGCCAAAATTTTGATGCCATTGCGGCCATGGTTGGTGTTTATTCTCTGGTTTACAGATCCAAGACAAGAAGAAACCCTCGTATTTATACTAATAAAAGAAGGAAAACCGCAACCTTTCCAAATTAAAATACAGTTCGGTAAGGTTAAAAAGAAATTTTTTATTATAAGGCGGCTAAATTTCCTTGAAAGTACCAAGATTACCCGTATTTTGTTAATCACATATTCCATCGGTCCCAAAATTATTGTCCATTTTGAATTTTCAATTTTTAGTCCAAAATAGAAAATTTATTTATTTTTTACTAAAGATATTTTTAAAAAAGAACAAACATAATTAACTATCTTAAATGGTTTTTTTTTATGCTAATTGAGTGACATATTAAATAATTAACGTGGACCTAATGCAAATACAAAAAAAAGAAAAAGAAAATTTGTGAAGTAGTGTAATAAATTATTTTGTTAAAAAAATCTAGGTTTTTTAGGAATTTATTTATATTACTAGTGGTAGACCCGTGCGTTGCCCGGAATGTGAAAATATTTCGATATATTTGAGCAGGAATTTTTTTAAAAATCTTTAGATGAATTTTTTGTCTTTTGCCTGCAACCACTATTTCACCTATAACATCTAGAAAAAGGAGAATTATTGAATTAATTTGTCTAAATTATTTAGTAAGACTTGTAGAGTCATATATAATGTAGAAAAGACAATGTACCTATTAGTAAAGATTCATTCACCCTTTTGTTTATGATATCAGCAAATTTCGGGAACTGAAAACCATATTCACCAATATAAGGACGATCCACAAACTCGGGAATTGTCGCAATCTTGGTACTGCGTTTGAATATTATTTTGTATTTGTTATCACTATATCTTTGGAGCTCTTTATCAGTAGTCGTACCAAAATGGCTTATTTGTTTGTACTCTCCCTCCTTCATGGGATCTTGAAACTTGTATATTAGGTTTTTTTTTTAATTTCAGCAACAGCCCTATTGCCCTGCGAAATAATAATACAACAAAGAAAATAAAATTTTAGTAATCAAATAATCACAATGATAGGTATGTATATATAAATATATATATATATATAATATTTTTTAATAATAGGTGCAATTTACCTTTTCATCGATTAAGACGCTCTCAATCATGGAGATTTCATTATCAGGTTTGAAATCTATCTTTGTCCACATGCGTAGAAGACGAACTCCGGCATTCCATCCAACTCCTCGGCTATTATCGAGCTCGTTGAGAAAATTAAATTTGGATGACATGATATACAAAACCAATACGAATGTGAGTGTATTTTGATTCAAATCATATGCTAAATATTTATAGGTAATGAAAGTTCCGTAATTTTTTTTATTTGGATAATGCACCATTTTTTTCGAATTAGCGGAGAATATTTATGTGGTCAAACCGTGAAATTTGTGTCATGATTGGCGTGCTTAAATTATATTAATAAAGATTTAATTTGATTTTAATTTTTGATATAGTAAGAATGTCCAAATTTTTGATTTAGTAAGAATGGGAAAATTTAATAATTATTCAAAAAATAGTAATCATGGAATAATTTTTGGGAAGATTGGCCTGAGACTTGAGCTCGTCTACGTTGCGTAAATTCCTGAATCACATAAGCCGCAAGAGTCACGCCTAATCTTTGCTTCTAATAATAATTAATTATTTTGATTTCCATTTTATGATTTAGTATGGGAAACTGATTTTGAAATTTTGGTACATTAATTGTAGTTTGAATATGGACGGAATTATGGGTCATAAGATTTTTTTAAAATGGCATTTGAAATGGGATAATCAATACATACCTAAAGTAGTTAAGGATAGGACAATTGTGAAACTGAAATTTCATCCATGTTTATTTGCATTAATGGTAGAGACATATATGTAATTAAGTGAAAGGGCTATTTTGTTTTTTTTACCTGGTTAGATAATTAGGTGTATGCGTAAATAAGTAAAATTAAGTTGTTAAAATATAAATTTACTATATTTAATTGAGTCTAATTTTTATGAAGGTTTTATTGGACATCTCATTATGTGACACGTGTCCTAAAAGCTTATTCTCTTAATATATAGGATTATCATAACATGATCCTAATTTTTGTATTAATTTAGTATGAAGTTCAAGGGTTTTAACTCAATTTTTGTAACTTATTTTTGTGAGAACACATGAAATAATTACACATAGGATTTTATCATATTTGTCACTCTAAAAATGAAAGTTAGTTTCTCTCTCCGATTTCTCTAATATGTAGTAATATACATAGAATAGATAAAATAGATTATTTTCATAGTTATCATCAATGCATGATTTTTCCTTCAAATAACTACAGTAAAGTAATAGAAATTTACTTTTCTGCAAACCACTAACTTATGTAATCTCAATTAAAAATCATATATTTTGTATTTGTGTTAAAAATTATATTTTTAGTTAGACCTTTCCAAATTATCCCGTTCCAGTTCATCTTGCAGATCCTCCACCATATAATATTTTTACATTTTTCTATTTAATTATCTCTTTCCTTATTTAAAAAATTTTATTAACATACTAACCCACCTTTGGATGAACCTTTTGGGGCCCGACGTCAAAATCTTGGTAAATGATGCAGAAAGTGGTGTAGGATTACAGTGTAGAAGATTTTTCGCCTTGTAATAAACCGTTCCCAACTGATTCTGTTTCTTGAAACTTTATTGAGCAATTAAAACAAAATCATACACGTATTTATATAGCCATAAAAATCATATATTTTGTATTTGTATAAAAATTATTTTTTTAGTTGGACCTTTCCAAATCATCCCGTTCCAATTCATCCTTTAATAGATCCAATTTATTATTAATGGTTTCGTAACTTCCAAGTTTACATAAATTTTTACCGCAAATTGACATGTCTAATTGCTACAATGAGTGGATTATTCGTGAATGATTAATTTTATCAAATCATCCATTAATTTCATGATTAATTTCAAAATCCTTTCCATTCCTTTTTGTCAAATCTTTATTTTTTGTCATTTTTTTTTGTTACAAAAGTAACAAAATATCTCTGTAATAAGGGACTATTAATGAAACTTGATGCCCAAAACAATTACATTAATCCAGATTAATAGTAGCTATATATTATAATGGAATTATGGTTCATATTTGGGCCAACTATTTTGGAAAAAATTTGTGGAGCCGACATATGAAATCGTTAATTTCTGTAATCTCAAATAATTAACCCACATTATGCAAACAAAATAAATATATTAAGGGAAGTATTTCATATGAAATCATTCACACATATAATTTATCATGTATGAAATCATCAACAACCATATGTAAGTGTCATTATGGTAATCAAAATCAAATCTCTTTATATGAAACCACCACATAAAATTTATTATATTTTCATATTCAATTATTAATTTTCTTTTTTAGACTTTTACTAACACCCTAACTTAGTAATTGGATAAACTCGTTGGGGCCAAGTTGTATTTACTCTTAGTAAATGCCATGGGAATTGGTATAGGTTTATTTTATAGAAAACCTTTACCATATAAAGGTGTTTATATTAGAGAACAAATTCTATCTCATTGTTTATTTTAGAAATAGTGTACAAATCAGCCCCGGGGTGCCAAAGGCGAAAAACGATTATAATGAGCTTGCCATCTTTCTTTTGAGATTTAATAATTTGGGAGCAATGGCATATAACCGGATTTCAAACAAATGAGTTAGAAGTAGCAGTTAACCGAAAATGCAGAATAGAATATTTCATATTATAGTGACCATTTAATTTATTTCCATGTTTCTCTAATATAAACTGAAACAATTTACATATTCAAAGCATATAAATAAAGAAATCAAAATGTAATCTGCAAACAAAAGAAAAACCCATTACCAAATTTATAACTTAGATACATGTCTCGAACGTAATCAATCTCCTCGTTCAAACTTGATATATGTTTCTGAGAGGAGAAGTAGCAGGAAATCAAAAAGTAAAACTGGAGTAGTGACATTTTTTGGCTCTAAATTTAGAATACCGACAACAACTGTATTAAGGAAAAAATAAAGTAACAATCGTGTATGTCCATGAGAAACTTTTTGAGCAACTTGATCTGCTCTCATGATTGCCCAAGATGGTTCAAAGCAATCCCATATATGCAAGAGGTAAACTAAAAATCACAAATCACAACATTAATAAAATATTAGTCGATCTATTGTAATAGTTTTTTTAGAGAAATTAAACCAATTTATATTAGTAGTAATAATATAAAAACAACATCAAAGCAGGTTCGACTCAAAAGAACACAAACCATTTGCAAAAATTTTTTTAGGCGGCTTTCGAATCATCGATTTTCTTAAAATACACAAAGATGTAGCTTTGCACCGATTTGCCTATCGAGAGATTATTCGACAGTGGCGCATCCGATTCGACGGAATTTGTAAATTTGTTCCTTTTAAAAAGATCAAAATTCTATAAAACAAAAAAAATAAAAATCTCAAATTTACAAAGAAGTAAAATATTATTGTTCATGAATACCAATTATTTTGGAGTTTGGGTAAATATGATCTTAGAACTCCATTGACTTGAGGAACCGTTCACATATACTTGGGGTACATAGTTGCTATCAAACACAAATTGCTAAATTTTATAAGCACGAACCCAGATCTCCCTGTGTTTCAAAACTGATTTGGCATTACAATAAATTAAAAAATCAATCAATGCTAAAATTACTTTGAACATGACAGAATTCTCCATCAACCAGCTCCAATCCAACAAATGTTTGCTCTGCCAAAACAAAACAAAGTTGAAATTAATTTTAATTGAAAAAAGTTTGCTTTCCATTTAACTCATTCTCAAAAAATAAAAAATAAAAAGTTCCGGATTTTCCAGCCACAATCGGTGGACATGGTGGCTAGCTATAAACTAAAGGATTTATTTTCTTTATTGATTTGGATGGTATTCACTGTGGAGGAATTATATGTATTTATAGAGATATGGCAGCATCTAATTAGAGTTTAGTAGAGGCGAAGTGTATTGGAGAAGATATAAATTAGAGTTTAGTAGAGGTGAAGTGTATTGGCGAAGTGTATTGGAGAAGATATAAATTAGTTTTAATTGAGAG